TGTTTATCATTCCGTTCATACCTACAGGTGTACCTTTGCCGAATATCAGTCCAACTGCCTCAACTACAGAAGGTACATTTTATGTTTTAAGAACATGTTGATTCCAGGGCCCTGATGGGGGGGGGGGGGGTGGGTTGGGGGGGGGGGGAGGGGGGGGGGGGGGGGGGGGGGGGGGGGGGGGGGGGGGGGGGGGGGGGGGCTGGAAATAAAAGACCCAACTGCCCTTCCCAACAAGCATGTTATAAAAGTTGACTAGTTAAGGGTTTTTCTTTCAAAGTTGGAGTGTATCTGCCTGAGACCTGAATAACCAACAGTCTACATTTGAATGAGCTAGACCAGTGAATGGATGTAGCACACAAAACTCAACTTCTGAAAAGAAGACTAAAGTCCGGAAGTGGACAAACAGCCAGAACTTTCTACGGGAGTTTACAGCCGGTGAACTGCAAAGATGTTCTTGACTCTTTAAATCCCAGATTTCCATCTCTTTAGCAGTTCTAAATTCCAAAGATTGTGGACTGTAGAGTAGGGGATGCGTGGTCTCAAGGACTGGTGTCTGCCTCGAGTGCTAGAAGCTCCGGGTTCAATCCCCGGTAAGGGCTGTGATTTTTTCATCTGGACTTCTAGTAATTTCCTCTGGTCTCTTGGTGTGCATTGTGGCACACGTAAAAAATTCCTTGGCAGTTGGAAATTGAAAAGAGTAGCCTAATGCCACTGCCCGGGCAAAATTTGAAGTTTAAAAAAACAACTACCCAAAGTATTTCAGGATCCTCACCGGTGCTACAGAGCCTGTGCACTGTGCTGAGCTTTTTTGGACACAGACTTGAGTTAGAAGAAGGACGGAGCACTTATGGGTTACTACCCATGTGCCATGATGTTAATCCGTTGTTCAAAACCTCAAACTGGACTGTAGAGTAACTATTCAAGTCAGTGAGGGAAACTACTACAATTATGAATCAAAAGGGGTTTTTTTAAAAAACATTGTGATATAATTGATCAAAGTAACAGAAGAATTCCATTAACTCTTTATGTTTGAAGCAACGCAGTATGTGAGCTCAGCTTTATGTCTGAGTGTATCAGTGCAACATAGGATGTGTTTAATTTCATGTTTGATCTGGGCATGCAAACAAAATCTGGTCAAATATTTTAAATGCAGCTTAGTATGTGCACTGATGCCTTTTTTTACTGTGATTATTGTGCCAGATTGGTTTCTACTGTGAAACCATCTGGAGCTAAAAGAGTTCATGTATATAATGTATGTATGCATTTGTAGTTTAGGGTTATGATCATGGTTCCATAATTCTGAAACACCCAGTTTGATTCAGCTGCATGGCAAATAAAAATAATTATATATTTGAAATAATATGAAACGTATAAACAAATGCTTAACACAAGAACATCTGTACATGGTGATTAAAAAAATATGATGGGGGAGGGGAAGGAGGCTCAGGTTTCCTGAACAAATTGGGGGAGGAGGGGTGTAGGTACCTCAAGTACCTGAGCCCTCCAGTTCTGGTGCTTATAACTCAAACCCATAGTGCAGAGATCTTTAATGGTTGGCCATCTCCACAGTGAAGGTTGGCTCCAACATCTGCAACACTCTCTGTCTCTTATCTTGGTTGTGTACAGTCTCTCTGACTGCTGTTTGTCCATCGCTTGTCATTGTCTTCCCACTTGTATCATTGTCTGCCTATTGCTCTTGTCTTCGGCATTCTCTCCAGTACAGTTGTCAAAATGAGTGAAAAAAGTAAAGGACTCTGCTGCACGCCTTTAGGAGTATTGGGCCTATAGGGTTAGACTTATATTTTATACACTAACTGGAACTAGGTGGGTGATGTAGTCAGCATCATGCCATCCCCCTTTACTTCCCAGGACTGCATCTGGTACCCACTCAAGGCTGGGTCGATCTAGGAACCAAGATCATTATTGAGAAAAGTCTAGCTCTGTCAAGACTGGAAGCCATAACCTTCTGATCCATAGGCTAGCCTCTAGCCGCTGCACTACGGCGACTCCCTCCATTATGGTTTTTAAAAGTAGCGTTATGTCCATAAAAGTATTTTAAAAATAAAAAAAATTGCTGTTTCAACAGCTCCAAGATGTCCGGAACCTGGCTGGTTGTTTCATAATGGATTCTGTTACTACTTCAGCCCTGATTTTGGCAAGAATGCATCACTCACCTGGTTTCAGGCCAGGAGATTATGTCAGTCAATTGGTGGAGATGTGGTCAGCATCACATCACAAGATGAGAACAACTTTTTGACAACTGAGGTTCTCTTTTGTTTCGTTTTTATTTAAGTTGTCTTTTTTCTCTCATGGTTTTGATTAGTGGCTGGCCAAATGGCTGAGAATGCTGGGTTTTCATGCTGAAAACCCATTTCCGAAACCTCAGTAAGGTCATGGATCTGTTTCTGCCGGAGGCATAAATAAAATCCAAACAAGCACAGTTTGTGGTGACACTACTAGCAGTGTGGCCCTCAATACTGAGGCTCAAATCCCCCCTCCTACACTGCAGAAGTGGCAAATACAAGCAGTCATTGATAGTTGGCAGGTTTTGATTGCTGATCTCATAACACTTGCATCTTTTGGTGCCTCTACGTTTGTTGTCTTTTCTGTTCATGACGTTCTCTTGATTTCAATAACTCCATCTCCATTACTATCAGTTTCGTCTCCATTTCATGACTTACTGTTTAGCAAGCAGATAGACAAGACGCACACAGCTTTCGTTTATGTGTATTTGTTTTTGTTTTTTTTTCTAAACATATATGTCTCCTGTATACACATTGTATCTTATAATTGTAGTAGGGTCTGTGAACCTAATTAATGTAACTTAATTAGTATAACTTAATTAGTATAACCTAATTAGTATAACTTAATTAGTGTAACTTAATTAGTAAAACTTAATTAGTATAACCTAATTAGTATAACTTAATTAGTGTAACTTAATTAGTATAACAGTATTAGTATAACTTAATTAGTATAACCGAATAAGTATAACTTAATTAGTATCACTTAATTAGTATAACTTAATTAGGTGTTAGCCGTTGCTCCTTAGTTGAGGTTCTATCATCACTGCACGTGGGCTGCCCTATAACTGCTTTTCTCCTGGGACAGTGGAAGTCAAACAAAATGTCCTTTATTGTCCCATTTGAAAACCAGTGAAAAAATATATCAGGCTCAGCAAAACCTTGAAGCTCATACATGTCAAGTAAATACATAAGCCAGCTGTCAGATATGCCAACACCAACAGACCCCTACCAGAATTTCAGCTCACTGTTGATGTAAGCAGTCAGGTGCAAAAGCCAGCATTGTACACACAATATTGCCTAGGTACACAAAATTAATCGGCACCCACCATTTTTAGTGCAGGTCATAGCACAAAGATGTCATTAGCACTACAAAAAGAAAACATTCCACATGAAATACACAGCTCATAGTGTCACACCAAGCACTGGACTCCCTGTCCAGAAAAAGTTTATAAAGTTCAAGCTGTTGCGTACTGACAAAAAAACCTGCCCTGTATTGTTTTGCCATTTGTTCCTGATAAATTCATAGAAATGTGAATTATTTACGAAGAATACCGATGTTGGTTCTTGTAATTTAACTCTTTCGGTCTTCAAACTTTTAACAGCTGAAGGAAGAGGGCGTAGCTAATCACTATGAAATAATTAATGCAGATATGATTTTCAAAGAGGCTAATTCTACAAAGCGACTACATAGAAAGCCAATTTTTCTTTTTTTTTTTACCAAAATGTTAAAATAAAAGAACATATAATGCAATGAATGTGATTCCTGAGAAAGTAACATTGACATATTAAACATGACTTGGGTTAAAAGAGGAGGTAAAGAGATTGTAAGATTTGTTTCCTAGACTGGTAATCATGTTGATCATTATTTTTGTCTTTTCCTGGACATTTGATTTTGTGGTTAGAAACTTACTGTCTGTTTAGAGCTGGTTCTGTTACTTTCTTCTGCTGCTTATGCTGAGTTTTTTTATTCTTCTATTTCATGTTTAGCGGCTTTAAACTCGGCAGAAATTTTTGGTTGTTCATCCGCTTCTGAATTCTAGTCATGTTCCAGAAACTGAATGCTATGTGCGCATGTGTTTCACAGGTCTGACTCATTTGCATGTAGACAGATGGTTCCTTGCCTGTCAGGCGGATGTACTCTGACTTGGAAGGAAGCTCCCATTTGGTCGACTCTTACAAAATGCTTTTGTGCAGGCAGTGGATCTATTCTTGTCTTTCCCACAGTGGGGCCCCGGAACCCACACAGGAAATTTTTTTATTTTTTATTTCTCCTCTTCTTCTTCCACTCTTCCTCCAATTATTACTTCATCGTGATGTTAAGGGTAGATGTAAGGATCTTCTATGTGCTCTTTCTAACGTATTGTGGAAATTGATCTTGATTTCATTATATTTTAAAATATTTCTTTATAATTCTTGTTTTATATTATCAATACTGAATTATTGTTGACTTTCATAGTTGGGCTGATGGAAACCCAGAAAGTTTTGTTGCCTGGGGCCCGAATGAACCAAACAATTTCATGGGTGGAGAGAGATGTGTAGCCATGGATGGAAACAGAGGTAAGATGAAGTTTTATTAACTGGTAATAAAACATCATTAGGGTATTCATCAGTTGTTCTATATTGTAACATTTGAAACAGAACATTATACAGAGCCAGTTTTAACATGAGATGATGTAGTCATCTCCTTGTGAGATGCAATGTTTCGTTATTTGAAGCCCCAAATATGTGGCTGTGAATCCTGGTGTGACCCTTTGAAAATAAAGTTCCTTCGTTCTTTATATATTTTGGGTGGGGTGGGAAATTTAAAATCGAGATAAATAAACTTGTGCCACTTTATTACTGGCCTGTGTAAAATTGTTTAATTTCTTTAAGGATTTGTTCTGCAATTCCAATGGGGTCGTCACCCATTTTTGTTTAGTGTTTCTGGAACAAGAGGATAAATAGTTATTCCATTCTTTTTCTAATTTTATTCCACAGGGATTTGGCAGGATGAAGAGTGTATGGCCGATCATGGCTATGTTTGTAAAAAGTTGAATGATACCTCCTTGACTGAGTCTCAGGCTATCTCTCCTGTCTACAACGGCACATGTCCCATGGGCTTTGTCAGTGCAGGTAAGTCAGGTGTGTCCTAGGGCTTTGTCAGTACAGGTTAGTCATGTGTGTCCTAGGGCTTTGTCAGTGCAGGTTAGTCATGTGTGTCCTAGGGCTTTGTCAGTGCAGGTTAGTCAGGTGTGTCCTAGAGCTTTGTCAGTGCAGGTTAGTCATGTGTGTCCTAGAGCTTTGTCAGTGCAGGTTAGTCATGTGTGTCCTAGAGCTTTGTCAGTGCAGGTTAGTCATGTGTGTCCTAGGGCTTTGTCAGTGCAGGTTAGTCATGTGTGTCCTAGAGCTTTGTCAGTGCAGGTTAGTCATGTGTGTCCTAGAGCTTTGTCAGTGCAGGTTAGTCATGTGTGTCCTAGGGCTTTGTCAGTGCAGGTTAGTCATGTGTGTCCTAGAGCTTTGTCAGTGCAGGTTAGTCATGTGTGTCCTAGGGCTTTGTCAGTGCAGGTTAGTCATGTGTGTCCTAGAGCTTTGTCAGTGCAGGTTAGTCAGGTGTGTCCTAGAGCTTTGTCAGTGCAGGTTAGTCAAGTGTGTCCTAGAGCTTTGTCAGTGCAGGTTAGTCAAGTGTGTCCTAGAGCTTTGTCAGTGCAGGTTAGTCAGGTATGTCCTACCTACAGGCTGAAGGACCAAAGGGATGTTCTTGTAAAGGTCATGAGGACTAGATTGATAGTAAATATGCTCTTTGATGGAAATGAAGACCAACTTGGTGGTGTGCAGTGTTCTTTGAAGGACATGAGGACTAATTTGATGGCATGTGTGGTGTCTTTTGAAGGACATGAGGACTAATTTGATGGCATATGTGATGTTCTTTGAAAGCCAGAAGGACTAGTTTGATGGCTTTTGTGATGTTCTTTGAAGGACATGAGGACTAATTTGATGGCATGTGTGGTGTTTTTTGAAGGACATGAGGACTAATTTGATGGCATGTGTGATGTTCTATGAAAGCCAGAAGGACTAATTTGATGGCATGTGTGGTGTTTTTTGAAGGACATGAGGATTTTTTTTTCTTGGTCATTGTGGTGTTATTTGAAGGAGATGAAGATTAGTGTGGTTGTGAATACATTTTCTTTGAATGACAGGAGGGTTAATGTGGTGGTGAATGTAGCATTTTTTTAAATGACAAGAAAAATTACTGGAGTACTCAGTGAATACCTTAGCAAAGTTGTTTGGAAAAGACCACTCATTATTAAAGTATCGAAAGAGAAAACTAAGTTAATGTCCTATACTAAATCTTCATTAGAGCAGCCGATAGGAGACTCGCTTTAAAGTCCAGCTACGACTCGCTGCAGTCCACGTCTAGTGTTCGAAACTGGACGGTTCCTGGGGTTCACCCAGCCTCTAGGAAATGAGTACCAGAGTTGACCCTCTGGGGTAAATGGAGGAACGTCGCTGTAGCTACAGAGTTTCGGCAACACAGGTAAGCTTGTAAGCTGTCTGTTCCGGTGGCAGAGCACTTATGGTTAACAACCATTTGCAATGACGCTGGTTCAAATCTCCCGGCTTTCCTTTTTTTTTTTTTTTTTTTTACATTTTCATTAAATCTTTTTTTTTTAAATTTATTTGTTAGGTTCTCAGTTTGGTTCTTTGTTTACTGTCACAATGACAAGTAAAGTTTAAAAAAAAATGCAGGAGATGGCCATTTTCCTCGCCTTCAGGTGTATTGGGCATATAGGGCTAGACCTATACATGTATTCTATCTTTTATGGACGAATCGGCACTCAGTGGGGGATGTGGTTAACGTTGCGCCGGCCACCTTGACTTCCCAGGACTTTACTTGGTACCCATTTAAGGCTGGGTGAACCTGGGAGCCAAGGTCATTATTTTATAAAGTCCAACTCCATCAGGACCTGAACACGTGACCTTCGGATCCACAGCCGAGCATCTAACCGCTACAATATGGCCATTCCCACAATGACAAGTACTTATTTAGAATTTATGACCATTTTTTTTTTTGTAGGAGTAAACAACAAGTGTTACTACATTGGTGGCCAAGGAAACCTGACCTCAGATGACCCTAAGAGGAACTGGGAAGATGCCAGAAACTACTGTAGGAACTTGACCTCACCGACCTTAGTGGACATCGGCAGTCTTCATAGTCTTGCTGATCAGGGTAGGAAACTTATCTTCTTTCTTTCTTCTTGATTATTCTTCTTTATTTACTGGTTTGCTGATTTACTGATTTAAGACTCAACATCATAGAACACAGGGCAAGCCCATAGGTACTCCGTCTCCCGCAGCAAATGTCTTCTGTATGTATATTCACATCTCTGAGAACTCAGTTTAACTTTCTAACTGTTTGTTCATTATCCAGATGTCTGCGCCTTATTGAATATTGTGGAACATATTCATCATTTGTCAAGAAGAAGCTACATCTCTCGACTTGTCACATCAATCAGTCGGTCAGCTTGCCCTTTACAGAACGTCGCCCTCTTCACAGCACACCTGAAAGTCTCTTTCTCTAGCCATTTCTGCAGCCCAGTGTGCTTTTATAGCCAATGCATCTTCATTGTGCTGTATTGACCTTCGCAGAGGTCAGCCTTTGCCTCATTTTCCGGCACCCTCCATCACCATTCTCTCCACGGTGCTTGAAGTGTCCACATTTCCTCAGCTTTCAGGAGAGGATGCTGTTTATGAGCCAGTTCTCCTTGATATTCAGATCATGCAGGATTTTGATATTTTTCTTCTTCCTGGTTCATGGTTTTCAAACAAATTTTCCATAGCAATTCTGTCACCTAGCTGCATATTATACTTTAACTGTGCTTTCTGGCTTATGTGACCTGAACATCAGTTTGAAGTAAAAGGTGAAGCTCTTTTTTCATGCAAATAATAAATTTGGTATATGATGCTCGACCCCTGTTGTGTTATGTCACACAATTGACGTCAGTGCACATTAGACATTCCCATGCATGCTCACTCCTCTGATGCAGCAACCACTACAAGTTTTTGTTTATTAAAGTTGGTTGTATATCCATTACAGGATTTTGCAGAACCAACCTCAGCATTTTTCATACCTGCATGTGATCTCCCTTGGCAAAGTTTGTGCTCAGTAGTTTGCCATTATCCTCTGAATGCTTAGCTGTTAATACCAATTTTGAAACCAATGCAAGGCAGTCTGCTGCCAAATTGCTCACAGGTGGGATAGAACCTAGTACCTCAGAATTAATAAGCATGTCCACAATGCCTAGGCCACAGGTATCGATGGAACACTGGTGTACCAGACTAATGAGTTCAAACCCATTGGGGGAAAAGAGGAGATCCACTAACCCTGATGTGTAGGTCATAACAAGCAACTAATCAGGTTTTATTGAAATTGGATGTGTTGGCTTAAAGGGAGCAGATATAGCAGCCTCGCTGTAAACCACAACACTATGTGCCAATCACCATTTTAATGCAGAAAGAATTTCTTTTTATTATCATTATTATTATTATTATTATTCTAGTCCGTGCTGTGTGGTATTAGTATTCATGTCTATCCACAATCTTCTGTCTTGTATACTTTCAGTCAGTTCTGACACAAATGACCCTTTATGTTATGATGTCCATCTGTCCAACATCTTCTCTCTTGGTCTCCCTCTGCCTGTTCTTCCGTAGCTAAGTAGGTAGTTGTACCCCACCAGGACATCACACAAGCGATAAACACCTGGTGACACAAAGTGCCAAGAGTCAGGGTGGGGCTTCAAAATAACTAAAAATTGTGTCCCACCAGGGGACTACATGGATTACAACATTCCACAACATCAAGGTGTACTCCAGTTTTCTCCTTATCATGTCATGACAAAAGTATGTAGATTGTCTCCCAAGAATAAATTTCTAAGAGTTGTCTCAAACCGACACTTGGCTGATATATTCCAGATTTTGTAACCAGCCTCATGTACGATCTGAGCAGTGACCTGTGGATTGGGCTGAGTGACCGACTGGTGGCCAACCAGTACCGATGGCAGGACAACCGCGAGGTGACCTACACCAACTGGGCAAGCGGGCAGCCAGTCAGACATTTTCCCTGGAGTCTAAATAAGGTAACTGTATGCATCTTCTTTCATTTGTTTTCATCTGCTTTTTTCATTTCTCTCTGTTTTCAGTGTATGCTTTCTCTTCAGTTTGTCTCTTTCTCTGTCTCTCTCCTCTTTCTCTGTCTCTCTCCTCTTTCTCTGTCTCTCTTCTCTTTTTCTGTCTCTCTCCTCTTTCTCTGTCTCTCTCCTCTCTCTGTTTTCTCCTCTTTTTCTGTCTGTGTATCAGTGCATTTCTGTCCTGTATGCAATTGTGTGGGTATGTATATATGTATATTTGTGTGTATGTATATATATATATATATATATATATATATATATATATATATATATATATATATATATATATATATATATATATATATATATATATATATATATATATATATATATATGTATAAGTGTGTGTGTTTTTAATGGACAGTTTCATTGCAGTATGTTTTTGTTTTGTTTTACAGTGCAGAAAAAGAGCATTTTGTTTCATTTATTTCTTGTCTACAATGCTTTGGGTTTTACTACCATTGTTGATTGAGTAATTAACCATTTTAGCCTGGTGACCCAGGAGAAAAGAGAGTTGGGTTAAAATGACTTGCTTTGGATATTTCTTGTTCAACTCAAAATATTAGTTGGATGTCCAGTTTTCAGCTCATGATATGATCACCCTATTTAGATATTTTTATTTTCAGCGCTGTTGCAATAGATGCTTTATGATGAGTGCTGTTTTCCTAGGGAAAAGGACCTTTTTCAAAAATATTTTTATTGTAACATGGCCTAATACAACTGACCAGATTTCTAGGATTCAATATTTTAGTTGCCCATCAGTCGACAGCTGCAGATATTCTTTTTTCAGATTAGATGAGATGGTTTTTATCAATCTAAACACAGGACAACTGTGTAGAGATGCTGCGGAACCCACACAGACCAGATGATACGTCAAAGTGGAATGATGCCCCTTGCAGCAAGAAGAGCGCCTTTCTGTGTCAGACATTACAATGTGAGTAGTCAGCTTCTGTTCTTACCTCTGTCAGTGCTGGGAAGTTTAGCATCAGAGGATGAAGGGAAGGGGATCAGGCAATTGCAGTTTAAATTTCATAGCATTTGGTTCACTTCATAGATTAGGGCTATTCAACTAAGTTTATTTAGGGAAGATACATTTTGAAGCTAGCAACACTAGACGAGACAGGGTTACCAATACCAGCATTAGAGAGAACGTTGGAATAAGACCATGTTTGGATTATATTGACAGGCAAAGAATGAAATGGTTCAGCCATCTAGTGAGAATGCAGCCAGACCAGACTGCATATGAGACTTTTTACAGTAGAACATCTGGGAGGAAGTCCAAGAAAGATATGGATGAATGGTGTGGCTGAAACCTGCAAAAAGATGAACAAATCCGTCACTTAAACCACCCGAGAAGTACAAAACAAATACAGAAAACTACGACACTGGGCTACAACCTGGGATCAGTGAGATGACAAAAGAAGAAAGAAGATACATTTTTTAAATAGGGATCGTCATGAGCCAGAGGCCTGAGACAGCATATAAAGATCAATAATATGGTTGGTAATGATCTGTGGGCCAACTGGTGAATAGCCTTGCTATCAATGCTCCGTTCATGTCTCAGTATGATCGCATCTCATCTTGATCCTCATGCATCTTGAGCTGTCGAGGTGAAGTATAATTTACAGAAAAGTGCTTGTTTGTGCGCTTCATAAATGGAGATTCCCAGGGACTCTAATATTTCCTCTGTCCATCGCTTGCATGGCCGGCCTCTTCTTCACCTTCCACCTGGTCTGTACATCATTGCTTGCTGTGATATACTGTTTGCTTGCTCCTACGTTATATGGCCAAACTATTTCAGTTGTTTCCTAATAAAATCAGGAGCTGTCACTACCCCCATTTTCTTTCGGATTTCATCATTTCTGATATTATCTCTTCTTGTTATATTAAGAGCCCTTCGCAGGATTCTTTCAATTGTAATTTTTCTTTTCTCTTTTGCTGTCATTGTTTAGGTCTGGCACTGACAGCACATGTTGTCAAGAAGTTTGTGTCATCAAGTTTTCATTTGGTTTCTACTGACGCATGTTTGTTTCTTAGTACTGGTTGTGGCGATAGCGCAGATAGATTAGAGAGGTCTATACTATAAAGACTTCTCTACAACATGCCAGCATCCACAGTCTCAAGAAATGTTGGCTCGTGAAGTTATTAAGACTAGGGGGATGGCCCCGTGAGATATAAGAGACTGTGACGTGGTCATGTGACAGAAGGCAGAAAGGTAAGACTAGCTCTGGATGTAGAAAGCTTCAGGCTAGTCTAGATATTCCGTCGCCCACCCTCCTGTCAATAGATATGAGCTCCCAGAAAGATACGTAGGGAAAGGATGAGAAAGATATCTTTCACACTCTTTCTCTCCAAGCCCACTCTCACCGTAGTATATAAAAACTAGACGAGGTGGGTGAACAGTTGACAATCATACATTGTAATTGGTATAAAATTCTAGTAGGTGATTGGCACACACACAAAAAATAATATTTTTCTTCCTCTGTGAGGAGTTAGCTTTGGATGGCAGATTCAGGCTGGTGGGGCAACACAGTCACCTGATGTATCTTTAGGTGAAGTCCTTGGTGCTTCGGTCTCCCGTCTGGTTGCTCCTCACAAATAGGAATTCTTCCCTCAAGGCTTGGAATAGCAACTAGGGTCAAAGCCCTTAAAATTCCACATAAAGTGGTTAAATTATAATGTTCTTCACACAACTTTGCCATCCAGTGGCTTACAATAATAAAAAATGCAGAACTTTGTTGTGTAGTTGTTTCGTGGCACTCAGGAATTTCCCGTCGGAATGTGCATTTGTGCAAAGCTAAGAGCGCCGGTCCGTGCTGATGACGTTTATTAGTGTGTCATACCGTAGATCTATAGTTGAACTGCACTTGCGTGAATACGATGACGTTGTTTATTTACATGTACTGCCGATAGGCATGTACGATGTGTCGGAGCAAGCTATGTTTCACGCACCAGAGTGGTTTTTTTTGTGGTGTACCACTGCCATTTCGTGACACTGGTGCCATTTGCCAGTTGGTCTTGTCTTTTGATTTGCCATCTGATAATATTATGCTTCTTAAGTATTTAAAGTTCTTGGTTTGTTTCAGATGATGTTCTGTAAGCTGGATATTTGTTGTTTTGTATACTCTGGCTAGGTCATGACCTCTGTTTTGTTGTCATTAATTTTCGTGTTATGCTGTTAGATCTACTTGCTTTAAATCATGTATATGGTCTTGCAGTTCTATATAATATACAGTGGATATACAGAAGAATAGGTCCTATTTCCTGGAAACAAAATCATTCAAATACAGAGGATCTGAAAGATTAAAAGAAGACTACCTAAAGAAATAAAGAGACAAAATATTTTGGTCACACTAAAAGACAAAATACACTCTTTTAAAAACCCTACTGCAGGAAAGGTTGAGGGTAATTTAGCAAGAGGTAGACACAAATGCAAGTGGGAGGACAATGTCAAAATATGGAAAAACAGGAGTCTGAGAGGGTGAAAACAAAGACATGAGGCAGGGAGTGTTGAAGATCCATTGCGGCCGGTCTTCGTTGTAGAAATGGCACCTGACTGATTGATGTGCCAACAAAAGCCAAAGAATTTCCACCATCACTGACCCTTGTGAGAAAAAAAAAATGGACACAGACTGCATCTTTTCAAACCCGGCAGCATGCACATGCATTCAAAGTATAAGGCAGCAGTCAGAAGTTTCATAACACACAGTTGGACACTAGAAATGCAGTTCATCATTGACGGAAGCAGCAGTTACAGCATATCAGTAGCTTCACATGCAGTTAATTGCATAAGGCACCACCAGGTCTCTGGCAACAGGCAACTTGCCATTTTTCTGAATCAGCAGAGAAAATCAAGTAATAAAAAATTTTTTTAATTTGGTACTTTCCCAATATCTCCCCTCAAATTTGGGAATTCCACAGGTCATGGGACAGTCTAATATTTCAGTGGTTGGTAGATGAATTGTATAGTTAGTAATTTGGCATTTCATTTGCCGTGCAGTTTTGTGCTTTTCAGAGAGTGCTTCTTGTGCTGTGTTTTTGGTGTGCATTTTTCTGTGTGTTAGTGCAATCGGGAAGATGCAGTTTTTGTGGGTGGTTTCTATTTTTTGTTTTTTTTTCGGGGAGGAGAACTTAGGCTGCATACAGTTTTGAGACCTAGGTTGCACTCTCTCGTGGATCGTAAGTTAGTTAGGGTTAGGGTCAGTTGTGGATGTTTTGGGGTTGTTAAAAGTGCTCACATCGTATAGAACATATCACATATAAAACACTTGATGTCGCCAGCAGCTGACAACAAAGTCTTTGCTTTGTTTTTGTGTGTGTTGAAACTCTATATGCAAAACAGGGATAAATTGCCAATCGGGGTATGTGGCCCCGTGACGTCATCTAGGGAAGATATTTGGAAAGAACCTGAAATTTCACAAGTGCAATATGTTAAAACAGACCAGAGAGCTGTGACTTCTTGGCACAACACCAGAGTCACCTAACTGAATGTCTCACTTACTTATACTGTCTTCCTTTCACCTGAACTGTGTATGCCCACCCAGACCAACCATCATTTTACTACCCATGACATTACCTGGTACTTACTATAGGCTTGGTCATCGTGACAACCAAAGTCAGTTTGTTTTTTAAAGTCAGCAGTTGATGTGGCTTTGAACTCAAAACTTGTAGGTTAGCAAGCGAGCCTCTACCCACTAACCTACAATGGCTGTCATCAACACTGGTAACTCCTGTGTATTTAACCAGCATGACTTGATTACTTTCTTAACCCTTTGATCCTGTGAAAGCTAAATAAATAGGTCATGAATCCATGGGACTTTCTGGAGAAAACTTCTTTAAAAAACAACCATTTTACACAGGTCAAAAAAATTTATTTTTTTATTTTTTTATTTATTGATCTACAGTTTAGGATTGGGTTGTTTGTTTTTTTTTCATGTATAAAGATATGTAAAAGGGATAATCAGTGAACACAGTCAAGCATGGAACATATTACCTGGGTCCTAAACAAACAATATGAATCTGGTGATTCATGTCGTGACCCCCATGACCTCTATCACTGAGATTTACAGGAAAATTTAACATCAACTTAGCTTTTAAAAAGCCATTAAGGTCACATGGAAACCCCCATAATTGTTATTCCTAGTTACTACATTCATATTGTGAGTTGGCGGCTAGAGGCCCGCCTGCCGATCAGAAGGTCGTGGGTTTGCGTCCTGACGGAGCATTACTTTTTTTTTTTAAATGACCTTGACTCCCAGGTCGACCCAGCCTTGAGTGGGTACCAGGTGCAGTCCTGGGAAGTAAGAGTGGCTGGTGTGATGCTAACCACATCACCCACCATGTGCCACTTGGTTTATAAAAATATAGTTCTAGCCCTATATTCCCAAAACGCCTAAAGGCCAGGAGAAGGGATCTTTATAATTATATATATATATATATACATATATATATATATATATATATATATATATATATATATATATATATATATATATATATATATATATATATATATATATATATACATTTATTTCTAGTACTATCAAACACTGTGCATATGCACATTAGAACCAGTAGCATTTAACTATGCATTTGAAGAACAGGTACTCCAGAAATGACCATAAATTGACATTTACAAGGCTGTGTCACAACCGAAAGTGTCTAGATTAAGCCTTCTCAGGGTGATATGGTATGAGGCTGAGTGGTCTCTAGGCATGGTGTCCGCCTCGTATACTAGAGGTTCTGGCTTCAATCCCCGGTAAGGGCTGGGATTTTTTCACGTTGATTTGGACTTCTAGTAATTCCACCTGGTCTTTGGGTAGTGAGATTTGACACCGGAATGTATTGTTGCGCATGTAAAAAAAATCCCTTGGCAGTTGGAAATCAAAAAGAGTAGCCTAACAGCGCTGCCCGGGCAAAATTTGGAGTGAAAAATCTAGAAAAGTATTTTAGGATCCTGGTGGCTGCTACAGAACCTGTGAACTGGGCTGAGCTTCTTTGGACTCAGACTTGAGTTATAAAAAGAACAGAGCACTTATGGGTTACTACCCATGTTCTATGATGTTGATCCGTTGTTCAAACCTCAAACCTCAGGTTGATAGGGTAAAATAATAAATTCATTATTAATTATAACATTTATTATTTGTATTTGGTTACAGCACCAGCTCCTACAGTGTTGCCACCATCGACTACTTCTAGTGCCAATTCTAGCTCAGTGTGTCCTGCCAACTTTTTCTTATACAAGTCAACTTGTTACTCTGTCGAAACTGACATGAAGACTTGGCCAGATGCCAGGAATTCTTGTCAGGCTTTGAATGGAGATTTGGCTTCCACATCTGACATATTTGAGGTTGCCAGATTGCATTTGGCTGTTCTAAATAGCAATGTTATTGGGCAAGCTTGGATTGGCATGAAGTTTGATCAGGTACCTGTGCTGTTATTAATGTTATATTACATCCTAAATTTATTGAGTTATATTTTTGTTAGTAAGATACGAGTAGTATGCAAATGATATTTGTATATGTGTTTGTGTGTGTGTGTGTGTTTTTGTGTGTGTCTCATTATCAGAATTATACTCTTATCCTTATGGTTAATATTATGTGATAGCAGCCACACATGCAGTAGTTATGTCATACGCCATGAACATTCTTCAGAAAAAGGCAACAGCTATGAATGGATACAAACATTTTAAAATCGCACTTAACCTCGATCACCGGGATCTACACACCTAGACATGTTAAAATGAAAGGTAATGAACAAGCCGACCAGCTGGCAAGAATTGCAGCAGTGCATACCAAAAGAAGCATGGTCAAAGCTGATATCATCAACACTGTACAGACTAGACTATAAAATCAGAGGTTCATTATTAACTAACAAAGTAATGATCAATCTCTGATTTTAACCTGATTGCCTGATCTGAAAGTAAGGCTTAATGAAGCACAGAAATTCTATCTTTGAGGTCAATACCGGAGACATTATAAGCACACCAGGCATACCCATAGGTGCTCCATCTCCAGCAGCAAGTGTCTTAAGGTTTAGATGCTAACTGTTGCACACTGATTATAAACTTGTCGTTCTCTTCCATTTATACATCCCCCTTGTTCATACATTCTTACACATGTTATTTTAAATAATGCGGATAGAAACAATATATTGCATAATTTATTGCCTGGCATATTTCGCTGTATCTCATCAGGTCATTGCTACAGAGTTAAATCAACATATAATGAATGAATCCTTTTCTTGCTGAAATGCATAAATCACGTTGTCGAATTACTGTACATCTGTGTGTCAGTAATTCCAAATTAATTATCATGGTGACCTCAAATCTATCACGTGATCTTTCTGTTTACATATGTTCCTGTGTTCTGTTCATACCTATCCATTCTTGATCTATTCATTTCAAAGAGCCTAGATTACATCTAGCTTATTATGCATAATTTCACCACCCAATGCTGGAGAACCAGCCAGTCAGTCTGCCTGTTAATTTTCCAACACTGCTGCATACCCTGGAGAAAACACTTTGATTTCATTTGTCTCTGATCCCTGTCAGCATTTTCTGCTGACTTAGAGGTCATGTGTCCAGTCATCGTCAAGGTGAGGATTAACTGCCCTGACCCCCCAAGTTGACCCAGCCTAAAAAGAAAGCAGGAAATTATGAACCTGGCTAACATGAAAATACACACATTACCATCAGGTCCCCAGTTTAAAAAACAAACAAAAAGGAGTAAAAATCCCTTGAGGAGCATCGGGCATATGGAAAGAGCACCCCATATTTTTACAGACCAGTGGGCACTAGGTGGTCCATGTGTTCAGCATTATGCCGGTCGTCTTTACTTCCCCAGGACAGCCATCCTGGTACCCACTTTAGGCTGGGTTGACCTGCGACGCCCTATTTCATAATAAAAATCCACGCAGCCAGCAGTGGGTTTCGATCACGGTACGCTGGAATTATGAGTTGGACTCGCAACCCCTAAGCCACGGAGGCCGCATGTATTGCATAAGCACCAAATATCCAATACTCTCCAGTGCATGAAAAATGGTCCTTTATTTTTACTATTTCAAAGCCTTTGGGTCTGAGGAGACTTTTACTTTCCAGGATTTTCTGAGGGTAATTTTGGAAGCCAATCAACTCTTAATGCTTATTCTAAAGTCATAAGCCTGTCTTCTTCGCCAGGCATCTTCAGAATATGTATTCAGTGATGGCTGGCCAGTTAAGCAAACATTTTGGTCAGCTGGTAACCCTGACCTTCAGACAAATGATAGTTGTGTGGCACTTTCCCTGGCCACTTGGAATGACACATTGTGTAGTGAGTTTCTCCCGTACATCTGTGAAATCAAGTCAGGTACGTTATACATAACCGTACAGGTCATACACGATTAATTTGTTTCTAGAAATCATTGGATAACATGAAAACTCATAAAGTAAATTGATTTTAACAGGCATTTCATTAGAATAAGTGTAATTTGAAAAAGAGAAAATAATTGACAGAATGTAAATATTTACAATGAGATACTGCTTTATTAACTGTAAAACTACACAAAAATATAGTCTATTCCACACAACCTCTTTCAAAAATGGCTCCTCCACACACAGTCTCCTCCACACATACAGTCTCCTCCACACATATGGTCTCCTCCACAGTTTTTTCTATGCATATTGTCTCATTTAACCATAGTCTCTTCGAAATACATAGTCTTCTCCACACATATAGTCTCCTCCACACACAGTTCCCTCCACACATCTAGTCTTCTCCACGCATATAGTCTCCCTCACAGTTTTTCTATACGCAGTCTCTTCCACACATATAGTCTCCTAAAAATATATAGTCTTCTCCACACAAATAGTCTCCTCCACAAATATAGTCTCCTCAGCTTATGCAGTCTCATCCAGTCTTTTCACTGCTTATAGTCTCCTCATTAAGTCTCCACATGTAGTCTCCCCAAGACAGTCTTCTCCACAAATATAGTCTCCCTCACACAGTCTCTTATATGCATATAGTCTCTTCCACACATAGTCTCCTAAAAATATGTTGTCCTCTCCACAAATATAGTCTCCTCAGCACATGCAGTCTCACCGAGTATTTTCAATGCATAAAGTCTCCTCTGCATGTAGTCTCCCTAATACAGTCTCCTTCACACATATAGTCTCCTCCACACACAGTAAATCCTCCACACATTATAAAGTGCTAAAATATTGTAAGTACTGAGATAATAACAAATTATTGTGTTTCCTAGAAGTACCACCAGCTCCAACACCTGCTCCTGATGGGGACTGCACTGACGCTAGCCAGGTAGTCTTTGGTGATTACTGCTATGTAGCCAAAGTAAATGATTTTGTATCATGGCCAGAGGCGAGTTACAAATGTGGTCTACTTGGCATGGAGATGGCCAGTGTCCATTCTGATGAAGAGAACCACTTTTTAAAGAGTTACCTGGAGCATGTGGCAGTTCCAGACAGTTCAGGGTTAATGCCACGTGGTGTTTGGCTAGGACTACAGAAAGATCCGCAAGGTAAGTTCTGGAGAGCAAACTAGCAGCATTAGCACTAACTTTGTCTCCTTCTCATTGTTGTACATAATGTTCTACTTTCATTAGCCATTTCCTGGCAATCATTGTTATCTGAAAGTTTACCAAACCATTTTACCTCTGCAAGGGTCAAATAATACCAAATTTGTGCGAAATTACCAACTTTGGCAGCCTGTTCCTCTCAAGTTATGAGTCTTGCCATCATATATACCAGTGCGCCACTGGAGTGAAAATGTGTCTTTTGTTTTATTTACCAGTTGGTAGACATTGGTTAATTACTGGCCACATGCTGCTGATATATTGATTGCTTAAAAAATTCAACTGTACCTCTAAGTACCTTTACCAACAAGGCAGATCCCAGATACCCGGTTCAACCTCCAAAAAGGTTCTAATTAAGGCACCCATAATAGTTACATCAGCCAGTTGTGATCTGACCTTGTATGAAGGCTAGGATGGGCTTATGTGCCGATGCATGAAAGGAGTACTGTAATGCTTAAAAACTGTTTTAACATCACAAAACTTTCTGATCCTGAACATGACAAGGCAGATGTGGTCAAGGCCTTTTGGGAACAAACAACAGAATCAGTAGAGATAGAAGACTGTTATGGCCTAGAGAGAGAATGAGGCACCTGGGTGTAACCAGAGGGTCTGGCCGGCTCACTACACTCAGAGGAGAGGCAAGACAGACATATAACCAGATTGTGACCGGTACCATCAGTATTGGAACTCTGCACTGGCTGCTAAAGTTGAGGATGGAGCATGCATGGGAATGCCCCAAGTGCTGTGATGTCAATTCTTGGCTCAACTCAACTCAGCTATGATCCTGAAAAAGTTCAGACACTTAACCTTTATTTTCTCCCAAGGTCACCCAATAAATCTTGAGATGTGTTTTTCCTCAGGAGGTTACAGATGGTCTGACCAATCGCAGGTCACTTACTTCAACTGGGGAGAAGGTGAACCTTCCACACAGAACAACAGATGGATAGACGAGGAATGTGTAGCCCTGTACAGAGACTCTGGCCAATGGAATGACCTGCCCTGCATTAGCCAGAAGTTAGGTTTTGTTTGCAAAACCAGCAAACGTAAGTACTTGTACTTCTGGTTTTCTTTTCTTTTGTTAATAACTAGATTTAACTAGTAATGAAAGAAAGTATTATTCTCCCGTTCTCTACCTCAGCTTGGTCTCTGTCGCTGCCGTATGTGTGGTAGAAACTCCATGGAGGAGCATTCATATTTACAAACATAATCCAGTCATCTCCTTATGAGATGCAATTTTTCGTTATTTGAAGCCCCACCCTGGCTCTTGCCAGGGGCCGCAATATAGCCCAACCATAAATATGGTCTAATGGCTGAACGCTGTTTCTGCGACCTCTCCACGGGTGATCCTTATCCACATGGTTGCACTTTGTGTTATCGGGTGTTTATGGCTTGTGTGATGTCCTAGTGGGGTAAAAATCGACTACTACTACCGAAGGAGCAAGCACAACATGAGCCTTCCGTCTTTAATTTTTCTCTTGGATGCCCTTGTTTCCTTAACCCATCAGTGTCCCATTTCAGTGCCTGTTTGGTGATACTCTGTTCATCTCTTCTCAGAACTTTCTGTAGCAGGGTGTGGCAGCTGGCCTGGGGGTGGAGTAGTGGGAGCCTTCTAGACCAGATCTTCCCATAGCGCTACCACCAACTTAGAGCAGTGACTCTGTATGTGACTCAGGGTTACAATCTGACATGTTGACAGTCCCCTAAATTTGACATGTTGACAGTACCCAAAATCTGACATGTTGACAGTCGCCTAAATCTGACATGTTGACAGTCCCCTAAATCTGACCTGTTGACAGTCCCCTAAAACTGACGTGTTGACAGTCCCCTAAATATGACATGCTGACAGTCCCCTAAAACTGACGTGTTGACAGTCTCCTAAATCTGACATGTTGACAGTCCTCTAAATCGGATATGTTGACAGTCCCCTAAATCTGACATGTTGACAGTCCCCTAAATCTGACATGTTGACAGTCCCCTAAATCTGACATGTTGACAGTCCCCTAAATCTGACCTGTTGACAGTCCCCTAAAACTGACGTGTTGACAGTCCCCTAAATCTGACATGCTGACAGTCCCCTAAAACTGACGTGTTGACAGTCTCCTAAATCTGACATGTTGACAGTCCTCTAAATCGGATATGTTGACAGTCCCCTAAATCTGACATGTTGACAGTCCCCTAAATCTGACATGTTGACAGTCCCCTAAATCTGACATGTTGACAGTCCCCTAAATCTGACATGTTGACAGTCCCCTAAATCTGACATGTTGACAGTCCCCTAAATCTGACATGTTGACAGTGACCTAAATCAGACATGTTGACAGTGACCTTAATCTGACATCTTGACAGTGACCTTAATCTGACATCTTGACAGTCCCCTAAATCTGACATGTTGACAGTGACCTAAATCTGGCATGTCGACAGTCTCCTAAATCTGACATGTTGACAGTCTCCTAAATCTGACATGTTGACAGTCCCCTAAATCTGACATGTTGACAGTGACCTAAATCTGACATGTTGACAGTCTCCTAAATCTGACATGTTGACAGTCCCCTAAATCAGACATGTTGACAGTGACCTAAATCTGACGTCTTGACAGTCCCCTAAATCTGACATTTGGACAGTGACCTTAATCTGACATCTTGACAGTGACCTTAATCTGACATCTTGACAGTGACCTTAATCTTACATATTGACAGTGACCTCTATCTGATATCTTGACAGTCCCCTAAATCTGACATGTTGACAGTCCCCTAAATCTGACATGTTGACAGTGACCTAAATCAGACATGTTGACAGTGACCTTAATCTGACATCTTGACAGTCCCCTAAATCTGACATGTTGACAGTGACCTAAATCTGACATGTTGACAGTGACCTTAATCTGACATCTTGACAGTGACCTTAATCTGACATCTTGACAGTGACCTTAATCTGACATCTTGACAGTGACCTTAATCTGATATCTTGACAGTCCCCTAAATCTGACATCTTGACAGTCCCCTAAATCTGACATGTTGACAGTGACCTAAATCTGACATGTTGACAGTGACCTTAATCTGACATCTTGACAGTCCCCTAAATCTGACATGTTGACAGTGACCTTAATCTGACATGGTGACAGTGACCTTAATCTGACATGTTGACAGTGACCTAAATCTGGCATGTCGACAGTCTCCTAAATCTGACATGTTGACAGTGACCTAAATCTGACATGTTGACAGTGACCTTAATCTGACATGTTGACAGTGACCTAAATCTGACATGTTGACAGTGACCTTAATCTGACATGTTGACAGTGACCTTAATCTGACATGTTGACAGTGACCTAAATTTGACATGTTTACAGTCCCCTAAATCTGACATGTTGACAGTCCCCTAAATCTGACATGTTGACAGTCCCCTAAATCTGACATTTTTACAGTCCTCTAAATCTGACATGTTGACAGTGACCTAAATCTGGCATGTTGACAGTCCCCTTAATCTGACATGTTTACAGTCCTCTAAATCTGACATTTTTACAGTCCTCTAAATCTGACATGTTGACAGTGACCTAAATCTGGCATGTTGACAGTCCCCTAAATCTGACATGTTGACAGTCCCCTAAATCTGACATGTTGACAGTCCCATAAATCTGACTGATAAAGCAACCACCTACTCTAAAGCCTCTTTCTTACAGTCTAAGTTTCAAGGGAGACAACAGCAAAATATAAATTGTATTTAAAAAAAAAAAAATTAATTCCCCTGCAATTTTAATGTGTTGGGGAAATAAACAGACAGACAGATTGGCTGCTTTTATACCACTTTGTGGTAAAAGCATTCACGACAAGCTAGATATGGTCAAGGCCCTTTGAGAATGAGTGAACAGTGCGGAAGCCCAAATAGATCAAGATCCAGAGAGAGTGGTAAAGTTGGTTGCAACCAACTAAAATATTGTGAAAAGCTTATCTGGCAGTCAAAGTGTTTTTTTTAAATACAGTACTAAAAAGACAGTCCTAATGTGAGTGTGTTTGTAATAAAATTGATGCAAGATGGAAAGTCCGAGAGTGCTCAGATAAATGTATACTACTCAACAACAAAAGAAATGCATGGATACTGAAAAATAATTGTATTTTTGTCGTAATTTTGACATTCATATTCTTTTTAATTTAAAAACATTTCAAATTGCACACAAGATTACCTTAGGGTTTAATCAGTCAGATGACAGTCCTTTTGCATCCGGGTCATCAATAGTATTTAGGCATTCAGGCTTTCCCGTCAATTAATAAACCATGCCGTTTGATTTCTAAGGATTTTTTTTTTAAGCAGTATATTTTTACCATTACAGTTTTTCCAAGTACCTCATCAATTGTCACAGAGCCTGCACAAGCATCAGTTGTCACTTCTGGAGAAATTGTCACAACTGCTGTCGCTGTACCACAGATGAAAAATGAGGACATTACCATCATGACTGGGATATCCTCCAACCCCGGACAATCAGCGGCTCAAGTGTTGACATCCTCACTTGGTAAATTTATATCATTTGTCACGTCTGATATTTTTTTAACTCTTTTAGTAGGGACGATACTCTTGCCTGCTTTTGGGATCTATGGTTCTTCCTTTTCTTCACGTTCACCTGATGTAAACTCTGGCAGAAAGTTTTGGCTGTTCATCCATCTCTAGTCTTGTTTCAGAAGCTGAGTGTTGCAATCATATCCATTTTACGGATCTGACTTATTTATATGCAGACTGTTTGTTTCTTGCCTCTGACGCAGGTAAACTCTGATTTCATTTGAAGTCCCCAATGAGTTGATTCTTATGACATGCTTGCTAGGGAGGCAGTGGGTTTATTCTTGTTGTCCCCAAAATGGGCTGTACGAACCCATATGGAAAATCTTGGGTTTGGATCAGCTGAACTTCTCCTTCTTTTTAATGGTCCCCCATTTGTAAACTTAAGTGGAAAACTGTAGTGGTTCATCAACTTGTGGACTAGTATTGAAACTCTATAACTAGTATTGAAACTCTATAACTAGTATTGAAACTCTATAACTAGTATTGGAACTCTATAACTAGTATTGAAACTCTAAAACTAGTATTGAAACTCTATAACTAGTATTGAAACTCTATAACTAGTATTGAAACTCTATAAATAGTATTGAAACTCTATAACTAGTATTGAAACTCTATAACTAGTATTGAAACTCTATAACTAGTATTGAAACTCTATAACTAGTATTGAAACTCTATAACTAGTATTTAAACTCTATAACTAGTATTAGAACTCCTCTCTGCCTGCTGAAGATGAGGATGGAGCACACATGGGAATGCCCCGAGTGCTGTGATATCAATTCTTGGCTCAAACTCAACTTGTAAGCTTTAATCTGATTCCAGAACTTGAGTTTTGCGTACACATCCAGTTTACAGATCTGGCTTATTAGCGTGCAGACTGCTGGTTCCTTACCACTCAGGTAGATGTACCCTGACTTCAAATGAAACAGTAGCATCTTATGACATGCTTGTTAGGGGGCAGTGTGGCTATTCTTTTGTTCCCCCCAAAAAGGGCCCTGGAACCCACACGGAGAGTGAACATATGAAAAATGACCTTGGCTCTTAGGTCGACCTAGTCTTAAATTGGTATCAGAAAATGTCCTGGGAAGTAAAGATGGCTAGCATGATTTGATCACATTGCCCATCAAGTCCAGGTTGGTACAAGAAAATTCTGAGTCTAGAACCATAATCCTGATGCAGCAATGGATGGAAAGGGAAGTTGTTTTTTTTCAAGCCAATCAGTTCCCTGTATGGGTTCCAGGACTCTGTTGTTGGAGAAGGAGAAAACACCCACTGGCCCATAATATGCATGTCATTAAAGTCAACAAATTAAGGATGGATTTTCTGAAGTCAGTGATGAGGGGTGAGAAACCAACAGTCTGCATATAAATAAGCCAAATATTTAAAACAGAAGTTCTGTAACAGGAATAAAGTGAAGTAGTTGTGAACAACTAGAGCCTCCTGCCTGCGGAAGTTTACAGCCAGTGAACATGACTAAATTCCAGAAGTGGATAAACAGCCAGAACTTTCTGCTGGAGTCTACAGACAGTGAAAGTGAAGAAGCAGAAAAAGAAGCAGCATCTCACTGTTTACTTCTTACATGATCTGCTTTTCTTATCTTCTTGTTCTTTATCTAGCTCAGGGGTTCTCAACCTTCCTAATGCCGTGACCCTAAATGCAGTTCCTCGTGTTGTGGTGACCCCCAACCATAGTTGTTTTTTTCGTTCCTACTCCATGGATAACTTCAGTGAATATGTGCTTTCCGATGGTCTTAGGCGACCCCTGTTAAAGGGTCAATTGACCTCCAAAAGGGACCCACAGGTTGAGAACCACTAATCTAGCTGGAACATTCACACATTGTATCCCAATTATGATTGCAATACATTTTGTCCTATAGTTTTATTATCTGAGGGAGCCGTGACAGCAGATTGTCTAGACCAGGGCTATTCAACTAAGTTTACACATGAGCCAAAATATTGAAAATGGGTATCGTCGCGGACTAGAAGCCCGAGCCCCAGCATAGAAAGATCACTAAAACAGTACAGTTGGCAGTGATCTGTGGGCCACTTGCTAAGCCCCTGCGGACCACCAGTTGAATATTCCCGGGCTAAACACTCATCTACCAGCCCAAATGCTTAAGAGTTCAAATCCAGATCGAGGTGGATTTTTTCCTTACAATTGACCTTGGCTCCCAGGTCTATCCAGCTTTAAATGGGTACCAGGTATTGACCTGGGAAGTAAAGGTGGTTGGCATAATTGACCTGGAAAGTAAAGGTGGTTGGCATAATTGACCTGGGAAGTAAAGGTGGTTGGAATAATTGACCTGGGAAGTAAAGGTGGTTGGCATAATTGACCTGGGAAGTAAAGGTGGTTGGCATAATTGACCTGGGAAGTAAAGGTGGTTGGCATAATTGACCTGGGAAGTAAAGGTGGTTGGCATAATTGACCTGGGAAGTAAAAGTGGTTGGCATAATGTTCACATCCCGCTTCGAGTGTCGATTTGTCTATGAAAATACAAGTCTAGCACTACATGAGAAAAAGACCAAAGGCATGAAAAGGGTTCTTTTTATTATTATTTGAACCCACTCTGACCCAGATACAATTTTACCATGTCACATAGAAAAAGGGGAGTCGCCGTGGCCGAGCAGCTAGACGCCGGTCGCGGACCGGAAGGTCGTTGATTCGCTCCCTGGCGGAGCCGGACTTTTTTCAATAATGACCTTGGCTCCCAGGTCAACCCAGCCTTGAGTGGGTACCGGGTGCAGTCCCGGGAATGTAAAGGCGGCAGGGCCTGACGCTGACCTCATCACTTATCTTGTGCCGATTGATCTATAAAAATATAGGTCTAGCCCTATATGCCCTATACGCCTAAAGGCGTGGAAAAGGGTCCTTTACTTTACTTATTTTTACATAGAAAAAGCCGTTTTTCCTATATTTACGGGTTCTTGAAAACAAAAGAAGTCTTTGGGCAATTGCCACTACATCCACATAACAGCTGTGGTACTGGTGGCACCTGCACAGTGTGTAGACATGTGGGTATGATTATATACCACTCGCCCAACCTTGAACTGAAAGAGTTAATATTTTTCCTGTGAATGCTAATTAATTTTTACCATACAGCACTCATTCAGAAATGACCATTACACAAATATTTTATCACTTCAGTTGGCTTGGAAAGTTTTTATGTAACGCCCATTAATTGTATAAATGACCGGAGCGTTATGAACCTGTATCACAGTTCTGAAAGTTTGATTCCAGCTACAGACAAGTTGGCAGCTGACCACTTTGCATTATTTCAACAATGGTGTGGTGCACCAGCTTTTTAGAAAGCAGTGACAAACTATTGAGTGTACAGTTACCCAGAAAAATCAAAAAGAGCCAACAAGTCCTAGAGTTGGTTCTGTAGTGTCCAGTAAAGGATATACAACTAACTTTTAGAGAGTATCAGTGAGTTCAATGAGTATCATTATGAAATCAGACGAATGCTAGGAATGAAGCAAGTCTTACAGGTCATCAAAGAACAATAAAGGAAGTGGTTTGGACACCTAACAAGAATACCCTGGTACTATCTGCCACAGCGAGCCACACTAAAATGTTACAACGGGTATAGAGCAAGAGGAAGACCTCAGAAAATATGGAGTGATGGAATTAAGAGCAGTCTTACAGAAATGAACATTAGTCCTAATAGTGCTGGCTATGACGCCCTCTAGGAGATGAACTTTTTTTGATTTATATTTATTTTCGTGCGTGCTCCCGCTTGCTTATATCGTGCGTGTTCTGTGTGTGTTTGTTTGGAAAAACTAATACTGATTTATATTTATATTTTCTGCATGTTGCTATGTGTTATTGACTTCACAGCTACTGTTCCTTTTTTTTTTGTACATTGACTTCATTTTTTTACCTTTTTTGTGATTGACAACAGAAACTGAATGGTATGAACTGATTTTCTAGAGGGTCTCTATAATCTTCTTCTTTGTTCACTGGCTGTAAGCTGCGGTTGAAAATCCTGGCTTTGTGCCAGGGCCTGAGTTTTGAGTGTACATCTCTTTTACTGGCTTATTTTTGTGCAGTTAGTTGTTCTTAGCCACTCAGGCAGATTCACTCCAACTTAGAAGTAAGCTCCCAATTAGTCGACTCCTACGACAAGCTTGCTTGGGAGGCAGTGGGTCTATTCTGATTTTTCTCTACAACCCACACAGGAAGGTCTCCAGAGTGAAGTAGTTAAGCCACTTATCTTGCATTCTGAAGGTTTACCTTTCATTTCATGGGCTGCATCATTGGATTCTTGAGCCAAATTGTTACGGAGATACCTGCATATAGTTGCTACAGCTACAAAGTTTGCACATTGTACAATGGTCTTGGCATATATGGTTTCATTGTTGTTTCTAGTTTGGGCAGCTGTTTCAGCTTTCGAGGCAAGGCTGTGAATAAAGTTCTCTTTATCTTTTTGTGTGCTTGACTTCACCTCTTTATCCAATATGGTGTATGTTTGTTTGTGAGTTTCATACGAAAATGTGTCTTTTGCGGTTAGGAGCATTAGTTTTGCTTGTTTTCTTTCTTGCATCTTCATCCAGACGTTATCACTTAGCCATTTCTTCTTCTGTCTTTGTACCTAGCCTACTGTGTTGGTTGCAGCATTTTTCAAGGTGTTCTTCAGGAAGTCCTATGTTTGTTGTACTTTCTTTGTTTGCATAGATGTTTTGTATCTCTGAGTTGAAAGCGAGTTGATGTTTTTTCATCAGAAGGGACTGTGAATTTATTTTCTTGCTTTGGATGATATCTGCAGTCTTATTATTTTTATTTTGGCTATGCAGAGATTGTGATCGCTGCCAACATCTGCTCCTCTATAAGCTCTGACTGATGAACCGAATTTGGTACTA